GATGATATAAGTAAAAAATAAAATTGGTTTCTTTGTGGTTTTTGGGGGGGGGGGGGGTGGGGTTGGGGGGGGGGGGGGGGGGGGGGGCTCGGTGCAAGACGATGGCTTTGTCATCAGGCTTATCTCCGGTACATTCTGCAACTCCTCGAGATTCATCGTCATGGGAGCGGTCGACTTCCTTTGACGCCTCTCGATTTCCTTGGCCACTTCGAGGAAAGCAGCTTCCAGTTGGGCAATGGCTCCCGCTTTCAGTTTTGCCTTAACTTCTCTTCGCTTGGCTTTCAACCTTCTATAGACTGTCGGATCGTGTATCTTTTCATAAAACTGCTCCGGGATTTTTAAAAGCCACCCAACCGAGCAGCAATGGTGAGAGAGGCATCCTGATTTCTTCCATAATGGCTTCGCCATGCTCGGCCTCGTTCGGTCTTGGTTCCGGCTATGAAGAAGAACTGGGGATGGGGCATGGACATCACGAATCGGACAAGGTATTCATGTTCACCTTGACCATCCATTTCTAGAAAGATTGTCATGCCTTTGAAGGAACCCCACAGACATAGGGGAACGAGACGAAGGCGACTTTCTACCCTTTTTCGAACATTCACACCCCAGCAGATTTCCACGACAGCTTTCATATGGTTCCGTAGCTCAAGAGTAAAATCTTCATGAATGCGGAGAATATCATCGGTATAGAAACGCAAACAGTCTAGCGTCTCTTCCCTCCTCTGGATATGGTCGTAAAGAAAGCAGTTAGCTGAAGAAAATCCTGCCTGCTGAACCTGGAAAATTGAGGGATTCGAGGAGTCATCCATAATTGGAGCGAAGGGGTCGGCAACGTGGAACGTCGGGTTGCATAGATGGCAGGCAATTGCTGCCTCGAGTGATCCAGATGGGGGGATGAGAAATTGAGAAGGTCGGGAGACCCCAAGCCGGTCCCATGCTTCGGTTTCTTGTTTGACAAAGGTGTTGAATGCTTCTGTTAAATGCCACTTTTTTCGTTCCGGCCCTGGGCTAACACGTCTCCGAGAATCGTTCTCTGTGTGGCGTCGTTCCAGATCCCCCATGAGCTGTATATATATATATAAGGTGTATATTTATCTGATGGCACCTTAGAAGAAATGCAGAAGAGAAAGAAGAGAAGAGGAAAAGGAAGAGGGGAAAAGAGATGGGGATGGGGATGAAGATATATCCAAGAGTCTTGGGAAACTTTGTCAGTGAATAAATCAAACAAAGAGATCAGTGAATAAAAAAAACAAAGAGATGGGATTCAGGATGAGGATATATCCGAGAGTCTCGGGAAACTTCGTTTCGAATCAGTGAATAAACGAAACAAGGAGTGAAGGAGACTTGGAATGAAACCGTCAGATAAAGCTGAAGACAGTGAAGCGGCGACAGCAACGAGGCCAGTGTATACCTAGAACCCGACATACTTACTCATTACTTCAATAAAACTGTTAGAATCTGAGAATGCCTAGATCCCGCTGCTCCATCTCGTTCTGTCGTCGTGCTTTCATAGACTTTTTTTGATACGGTATAAAATCACGGAGATTGAGTTATCATTATCCGATGGTGAAGTGCCCTAGATCACACTGGGGCCAAACCCAACAAACAGACCAAATCCAGTGGGATTAGGGTCTTTCGGCGTTGTCAAAGAAAATCGACGCAGGGGTTGAATAGAAGCTGATTCTATCACCAGCTGATTCAACCACCGGCTGGTTCTCACCCTCAAGCTTTTCCCTTACATAATCTCTTTCGTGCACGTGACCTAGCCCCCCCGGTCCGGCCTCGTTCCTCCGGGTGATCTTTTACCCGTTACCTCTACCCTTACTAATCATCCCTACTCGTCATTGCCCTAAGCCCTATCCTTCCTAAATTGCCGGTGTACCTTCCTTACTCTTATGTATCCTTTTCATCTATTATATCCATCTTCTTCAAGCGTTCCTATTCCTCTTCTTCCATCTTAGATAGTCAGGTAGTAAATCTCCAGTTCAAGACCCCTAAGATCTCTATTTTCCCATACTGATCCATCACGGATCGATTCCTTGTTACTAAGCTCCTAATATACCAAGAGTTTCCCTGGCCACCCTCTTTCCGGCCTGGCGGCCGGGGCGCCCGTTTCGGTAAACCCAGGCTGAGGAACTCTCCGTACTTTCCATTACATAAATCTAACCCAGGCGGAGATTCCATCGACTATCGAGAGACAGAATCACTGCTTAAGGATGAGATTAAAAAGTTTTCACTGATTAGAGTGGCTCAGAAAGCAAACCACTAAAATGACGAAGCTTTTTAGGAAAAAGGGCAAAAAAAAAGAAGGATATCTGGTCCCAACGAGGGTCGAACTCGCGACCTTGGCGTTATTAGCACCACCTATATTAATGTTAGCCGACGTCGTCTACCAGATGCGGGCAGGGGTGACTTGCGCTCTAACCAACTGAGCTATAGGACCTAGTTGTTGTTTGAGAAAAGCAGTCGGCGATGAAATACCGGGAAGAGGGTAGCCAAACTTGTAGTCGATGAAGTGTGAACTATATCGGACGAAAGCCCACCCTGGACCACGTACCCCATAGACCCCCATAAGATACCTCCTTTTAGTTAGATTCTTCCAATCCACATCACGTTCACCTCTCCAGACAAGATCGAGGGGGGAGGAGAAGACAGAGAAATGAAAGATAGGGTCACTTATTGTCGAGACGAAGACGAGTGATAATGTTTAATTGTATTTTCTCATTCCTGTGATTAATTCATTTGATAAATTGTTATTTACTGAGCGTAAACTCTGAAGATGTTGAAATGGGTACTCTGATCAGGGTACCTGTTGATTGTAAATGCATCACACCCATCAGTTTCCGAAATAGATCTGTCGTTAAATTCGATAAAGCTGTCATCAATAATTGGTTAGGCGGAGAAGGGAATCGAGCATATTGAACGAAAAAAACACGACGTCGGCCACCGCGACCTGGCCGTATACAGAGCTCTCCAAACCCTCCATAAAGATTCGGGTTGCTTGCTGTTTCAGATCCTCATGGTTCGCAGCATCCTCAACAGCTTCCTGTTTGTATGAAATGAAACCAACTTGCTATGGGTTGCCGCGGACAAGTCAGAAACCGTCTTTCGAAATGAACGGCCCTGTTCACTTGCCTGATCTGATCGGTCTTGGTAGTGTATATTCACGCCCCTTTGTAGGTTTCCTCGGGTTTCCATGCTGTGGTGAAGTCGTCTAGTGTATCGCAGGATAATTGCGGAGGCTTTTCGACACCGTGCTCCCTCTGAAATTTTTGATGTAATATCAGTCTTCGGGGGGGATTCGAGATCGGTACAATTTAGGTGGCGATAGTGATACAGAAGATTAAGCAGTAAATATATCTGCTGAAGGGTTATGGGTCCTATTTCGAGCCCGGATTCAACGACAAAGTTATCGAGTGTATGATGAGATAGCTGTGGAGGGTTTGACGAATATGATCTAATATCTTTCTGGTAATAGGGAAGATAACGTTGTTGTGACATGCCTGATTGGTAAGAGCGCTGGCATAGAAGCTAAAGTCGATTCGGGGTCTTTGTAGAGGACGTGTAAGGATATATGTCTCTGCCCTGATTTTTATATCCTGAGTAAGATCAAGCCCTTTAACGTCCTGCTCAGGACGGATCGAGGATAGTCAATCGTCTGGGGTGTCATCATCGTCATCATCGTCATCATCGTCGGAGTCGTCATCACTGCTGGATGAGGAATAGGGATCGGAAGCCAGGATGTCATCGGGCTGGAAGCGGCTTTTTGCGTCGCGGGCGCCTGAGGAATTCCTTTTAGTAAACTTTGAGAAATTTCAGACGGCACCTGGGTGGCCGCCGTCCATGCATTTATGCTACCGCCCGAGTAGGCAGTCGAACCAAAGTCGCTCCATACGTCTGTGATGGTGGGATAGAGACCGATAACTCAACCATCATTGAACGGAATCTTGATTACAGGCACCGACGAATCGTACGTCTCTTCCAGACCTTGAAAATGTGGTGCCCCACGGCGCCCCCTGCCAACAGCACAAAGATTCAGCATTAACACTCTCAGCAGACATGCGTCTCTGATGGTACTGCTTGACATAATGTTACTGGAAATGGTTTGTTTGTATCCTCGGAAATCTTCCCATATCTTCTCATTTCGCTGACAACTTCATCCTACCATTGAAAGACGTTCAAAATAGGTCCTGTACTGGGTAGGGAAGAATCTTCTTTCTTAGAGAAATCAACTCTGTGGGCAGACGGTCTTCGAGTACTGAGCTAGCGGGCCCATCAGTTAGTGGACTGCATAGTAACGGAATAGCATCTTACCAGTGTTCTCTAGAAGGCGATGAAAAAGGTAAAAGTCTGACGAAATCATTCACCTGCGTTCGAAGACCATTATTACCAACGTCGTTTACACCGCATAGGGCGATTATTCGTCTTCCGGGCTGGATATCAGGTGAACAAAACGAAAGGAAATCGGGATGTTCGGCACTCGACTTCCTTCCAACTCCCCCGAAGCTTTTGAGTGTGATCATTCCATTTTTGCCCGACATCTTGAGAGTGGAAGAAAGAGTGATATGAGACTGAGATGAAAATCACTGAAGAAGATTGATTGAGAACGAACAAAATAAAAGTCTGACATTGCTCCGTTTCTGAGAGCTGTAGTAGTGAGAACCAAGATCGAAACTGATTGCGAGCGAATGGCTTGGGGAGGAAGTGTTCCGTGCTCGCGAGGAAATAATGCGTTTGAACTTAGCGAGCGGACATGTACAGCAAAACCAGCAAAATCAGCATGCCAAGAAGATATGGCTGCCCGAGTGCAATAGCCTCCATAATAGATATGCTATCGAAGTTAAGATAAGCGTTAAATATATATTGCTATTAGTTGTTAACGAGTGTATGTTATTATAGCAGTGTGATTAAGAAAAAGGTTATAATCACGGCGATGCGGAAGACGATGTGGAAGGTGAGGAGGTGGAAGTTCTGGTCATTGAACCGGTCGATCGAGGGAAGACGCTTCTTCGACTTCATAGCGAGCGACATTTTCGGCTTCGATGATTTTGTGCAGAGGCGGGGTCCGATGCTTCTCGATGGTGCTCTTGATATCATTTCGAAGTGCAGAAATTGAGTAATCTCGTTCAGCAAAACGAGAGTAACTGGTTTGCACTGTTTTTTATTTTTGCTACAAGTAGCGCATGCATTCTTAAGGAACTTGGTGCAGTTGATTTCGAGAAGTTTGATAGGTCCACCCGTACCACGGATCCAAGATGAACACGACGTCTACGTTCGCATCTTGATCGGTAAGATATGCTGGGTTGGCCGCCTTATCTAGGAACGTCGATGAAAAACTGAAATACCTGAGCTCATGCGCGTTCGCTTGAAAAGTAAGTGAGTCGAAGGGATGCAGAGAACCGTGGCCGGCATAATGAACAACCACAAGGCTTCTGGGAGCCTTATAAGTCATATGAAGCAGGTCAGTAAATTTGAACCCGATGGTCCAACCTAAGGCAACGAATACACATGGTGATGTTGTTTTTAGTCGACTTGACAGCAAAAATTCAGTGTTTCTGTTTCTGCTTGAATGCTGAAAAATTGAAATCTGAATCTTGAGGTCTTCGTTCTTCGATTTTTCGTCTTTCTCATTCTTCGGTTCTTTCTCTTCCTTCTCGTCTGGATTAATTGCAGAATCGAGAAAAGAATTGAAGGTTATCGTAATTTTCTTTCTGGAACGAATCTGTATATTTATATGTTGGTAAAATCAATCCTGATATACAGTGTACGGGGAAACGTGTGTGTATGTAGCAGAGAAGATCCGAAGGAGCTGGAAGAGGCATACCCGCAAATGATGAAAGCAATAGAATAATACCAACAAAGCTTAACAGCTCGTGTAGGTAGAGGGGACATCTGCTTCCACAGTGGCATCTGTGGATATGGTTTTACGGTGCAGCAAACCGTTAAATTGGGAGCTGGTTTTTAGGACTTTGGGAATCGCCAGAAGAAATAGGTCTACCATATCGTCCATATCCTGCGATTTCAGGTACATCCCGAGTTCGTTTCCTTTGTTTCCATATGCATTAGGAGAGGCCATTGAGCTCGGATGAATCTCGGTAATCAAAGCGATGCACCAGGAAACCCCTGTGTTACACCCATGATGAGCTATACGGCCAGGCCATCATTCCAAAAGGGAAATGCAGGGAAAGGATGGAATAGTATCGCTACTACATTAGCTGGGGCTCCATTTCAGCCATGATGACTGCTCTCGATCTATTGGCTTCTTAGAAGCACTGGTACCACTTAGAGGAATGCTTGGCTTTTACCTGATAAGGGTAAAAGAGGATAGGAAAGAAAGACGGTTCTCAAGACGGTTGTCTTTCTCAGAAACGTAAAGTTGTTCCCAGTAGTCCACTCCTCGGAACTTGCGTGACAACCATTGGAAGAGGAGGTTTATTGTCCGGGTCAGGCATAGCGACGGATAAGACATGGGAGGACCTTCAGAGCCTTACCAGATGTGAGATCCCCACTCTCGCGCATGCGCCCGAGCCACTTTGAGCTAAACATGTGCATTCCGGCCGGCACGGGTCCCTTCTCGTCTCCAATGGACAAACGTTCGTACTCGTCTTCGATCGCGGTATAGGAGCTCAGCATGACATTGTCAGGGTCGTCCTCCTCGAACTTCGTCATCCGGTATTGTCTCCACAGTAGATCGAGATACCCTAGCATAACCCATAGTTTCGGGGCATTAGTACATTTGACCACTTTGTGATTGTCGGTGTTTGTCTCTTTTCAGGTAGCGACCTTCATCCGCGATGATGCGGTCGAACTCTCCCGCGTATTTACAGTGGTAGTCACCTGTTTTTATCTCGAGTCACGACTCTTCAGTCACCGTGGGCCCGTAAGCAACGGCGTTGATGGGTCACCATGAAATCGCTCCACGGTGATCAATACTTACCCGATCCCGTTCCATCTTCATTCTTAGTCTCAACAAACGTTCTACGCATCCACGTGGGGAATGCGCTCAGAACCACGGTACGCGCTGTTGCCGGGTCATCGCGATCGAGTCCGGCTAGCGCAGGGCGTATCCGACGCCAGGCCCGCGTTAAGAACCAAAGAGTAGGGGCAAACGTGAAGTGAGGGAATCTCGTGGAATTTGGGAGTTGAACGGTGTCAGAGCTCGGATCCTAAGTCAATAATAGACGGGGTTCTAATCCAGTAACATTTGCAATCGTGCGGTTTGATTTCCGAGTCTGGCAAAGCCTATAAAGCCCGGCGTGTTTTAATGAACGTAAAGCAGATTCAACTGACCTTTCGATGATTTCGGTGCGATGAGAAAGAAAAAGAGGTCTCAGGAGCGATAATTTGAGTCATATAAGACTTATCTGACTAGTATCCCGGTTTTCTAAATCAGCCTTTCTTACCACAATCTGACAGTCGCGTTTCCATAGGACCTTGGCGCAT